GATGTTAGATTTACTGTGTGCATGTGAAGTTATACCATGGAGGAATAGACAGTCCAATCAGCACCTACCACGGCACCATGTAGCTTCGGCCTTTAGATAACCAAAACTGTTAGAATTATGAGTTTTATGGTACATTTCCCATGAGTGTTGTCCATGATTTTTCTTACTGCGGAAAATACATGAGTTTTATTATAACTGCAAAATAAGGCTCACTGTCGTTTCTGTTGCGTAAAAGCTGCTGCAGATAATGCTGCACAGGAGAGACTATATGTCCCACTTCAAAACACGATGTTCAAATACAAGTTTTAATTTTGATAATTTGGTAAAAATCTATGATGGCATGATACCAACAAATATGACAGAGGTAGATGTTGTCACTGTTCTTCCAAGACATTCCGCACCTTATACTCCTCGGTACCTGAGTTGTTCCGCTCCCAGTGTTCACCAAACCTCTCCCCCTGAACCCTAATCCTGTCTATGAAGGCCTCGTCTCCTACGTGCAGAATGGACCGGTCTGGTGTTGGCTGCAGAATGGAGACGGATGCGGAGTGACGGATGCCCGATGAAAAAGTACGGTATGACCTGAAATTGCGACCAAGAGGTAAAGGGCCAAAGCTCACAACAAGTCATTGTGTATCAATGACAAAGATGATTTCATGTTGGAGTGTTTCTTCATGTATAACGTGAACCTTATTTACGTCTGACTGCATCAGTGAACAACATTCCCAATTTATATTTGTCTGATATGGAAATGATAACTGGTGAAAGTTTACCCTTTTCCAAACTCCCAAAGGCATACGGTAATGCTGAGTGTGAAGACCCCCTCCCAATAGCATACTGTATCTGCGAGTCTTTAAATCAGGTTATCTTTAAAATGGTAGTGGATTTCCAAAGACTCCATTCTGCTGCTCTGCCCGAGTGAACATCAGGCTGCTGTCAGACTGTACATTGAACAATGCTTACTGTGTGCCATTCACATGTAATAATGTGCAATACTGATTAGTAAATACTAATGTTTTATGGTAAATTTTGAAAGTATCATGCATTCGTAGTTTTATACTGTACTTCAGGTCAAATTATTAGGCATTGTATTTAAAGCTGGGTGTGTTGTTATTGTTTGAGTGTTCTTCTACTGCACCTGTCTGTAATGTCCCCGCACAGCCGGGCCCATCAGTATTGAGAGATTGATGCTATTTTTACATAAATGATTCTGAAAACCAACACAATGAATTTGTGTGTGATTATATTACAGTATGTACGTCCAAATCAGATAAACACATAAATCATAAATTATATTAAATAAACAGCTTTATGAGTCTCACTGTTTTAGCCCCTCCCAAAACATGTTGGGACAATGTTCTGCTCAGCTGTGTGTTGTTTCTTCATTAAGCCAAGAGAAGAAAAAGTGTCATACGTTCACTTCTATGGTTCACTTACACAGTCCTTCAAAGCCAGAAGGGGTCCTGGGGTCCGGGCCCAGACGGGTTCTTTCTGTGAAGAGTTTCCCTGTATCTGCGTAAGTCTCACATGAATCAAGACTAAGATTATCTGTAATTACTGTAAACCTAAAAACACTGACACAATTTTGACATGTTCAACAGTTTTTATACGTTTTACACGGATTTTCCTTGAGCCTGGATGAACTCACATATACACAGTGTGAAGATTCAGGTCAGTGTGGAGCCTCAGAACATGTGTTTGTACAAACACGTCGCATTCCATATTAATGTTGTCATTTACGAACAAACAACTTCTTCTTAATGAGTAATTTAGGTTTTGGACCTAAATTAAATGTTTGAAAAAGGATGAGGCAAACAGTTTGTGGATGTTTTTGTCTTTATCGTACTGTGTATATTTCTACTCAAGTTTTATAAATGAGGCCCTGATGATGGTTCTCTGTCCCTCTCCTCTGAGGCAGAACAGCTCATGGTCCTCTCCTGGTCCTGTGAGTTATGGTCCTTATCTCTCAGACCGTTGTCTCTGGGGCAGTGAGTGGGTTTCAGTTTCAATTTTGATTTTCATTATTGATACAGTGCATTACACACCCACATGATGGTATTAGCAATAGCCATCTTGAACACAAATACTTTCTCAAAGAGTCCTGCAATGTAAGAGTCAATATTACCTCCATGTGAACGTCTGATCCTGTCCATCCTCAGAAGCTAAACAGGACAGAGCCTGGTTAGTACTGGGATGGGAGACCTCTGGGAACATCTGGACACTGGCGGTTGCTGCAGCCGAAAAAGGCCAAACTGCTGTTGTGTCTTTAAGCAAGACACTTCACTCACATTGTCTCCTCTGAGTCCAGTGTGTGCATGAATGATTGGTGGCGGACGGGTTGCTTCTGTCAGTGTGCCCCAGGGCAGCTGTGGCAACATTAGTCTATCACCACTGTGAATTAATAATGCTGTGATGTCTTTGAGCTTCCAAAATGAGCTTTATAAGTTTGATGCATTACTTTTGTATTAATTTAGTTATAATTATTATTATTATCACCAGACTCATAGTATAAATGTGGGGGAGGTGTCTTGCTTAAAGACACATCGGCTGTTTAGTGTCAGCGAGCTTCAATGGTCTGAGAGGACATGGCCTTCAGATGCAGATACACATAATTTAATAATTTAAATCAATTTATCGCAACCAAGTCACCTTTTTCTAATCTTCTACCTGTTGTCAAGAGGTTTTGTGATTCTTAAAATATGTAGATTTATATTGTTTTATTTTGACTTCCAAACGGTCGGTTTAATTTCAACTCGCCTTCATGAAGATGCATCTGCCATACAGCCAATCGATGCGTGACGTCATCTTTGGGTGGGATGTCGCGTTGGTGTTGGTGGTGGGGGGGTTGGGGGGGTGACACCAGCGGGAGGGGAAAGAGAGACAGCCTCGGTGACCCCTCCCAGCACTACTCCCAGCCACTATACTCCTCTCCCATACGGTCACACGCGCACACACGTCCATCCTCATCTCGTGGACCACACTACAGTATACACTGCACTACACAACACACACAAGCCTCATTCTCACTCTGCAGACCTATCCCCTCATGGACCGCCGAGAGGAACCGGGGACTCCTCGTGGATGCAGTCCATACGATGAGGAGCGACTGCGGGGCGTCAACGCGTCCGCAGCGGGAGTGGAGCGGAGCGGACCGCAGCAGCAGCAGCAGAAACAGCAGCAGCAGCAGCAGGCGCACAAGGACGGCAGCAGCTCGGAGCCAGAATCGGACTTCTATGAGGAGATAGACGTGAGCTGCACCCCGGAAAGCATGGACTACCCCACGGGGAAAGGTAGGGCTGTCAGATCAGTGTGCATGCGGTCCAATTGTTACTCGGGAAAAAACAAAACAAAACAAAAAACAGAAAAAATAAGAGAAAATGCGACTTTGGGTTTGAGTGTGTGCGCAACCCGATCCACGCAGTTTAACGCAGTCAATAATGAACGAAACTTAAGTGTCGGAGCGCGCATGTGTGTAGGGCTTTGCAAGATTGTTGATGTTCTTGTACAGAAATATGCCACATACTTGGTCATCTTGTGCTTATACAACAACGTTCGCAGCATTGACGCATCTGAATACAGCTGTCCCTTGTGCCACGCTGTGTGCAAGCCCTAAATATACCACTATATTCAGTCCATCTCCAGTTATGCGCAGAATTGACCGTGCGTAAAAGCGCATTGACAGCTCCGTGTGTAATCAGCTGCTGTTGTTGCTGTCAAGTGTTTCCGGATAGGTGATACCCCCCCCCCCCCCCCCCCCCCCCCCCCCCACACACACACACACACATATACACACACATACACATCCATACACACACATATACACACGCATACACACATATCCACACGCACACATTATTACACACATTACGAAGAACACGTGTGCATACAAAAATGTGCAAAATGCAGGCATCTGTTTTGGTCGAATGAAACATGAGTGATTAATCGTTAAAATGTTTGTCTGGCAGCTTTAGAATGACCGATTTATTCATGTCAGAGCATGTTTTGTGTGATTGCTACACTGCTGGTTTTCCATTTTTTTCATTAAGGACGCCGCTTTAGCAGGTGCGTGCACTGCATTATGGGAACGTCTGAAAAATGGTGCATATGAGGAAATCCCTATAGCATCCATACAATAAAGGGGGAAATTATGGTTTTGCTTTGTAGTGAATGTGTTCAGCCTTTTTTCATTTCTGGAGATATTCATCGCTCAATGTACGTTGTCGTTCCAATAGGACAATGTTAAAACCAAAACATGTTAAATATTTTCAATGGAAACGAATCTAAGCTGAAAACTACAAGCTACACATCTGAAGCTTTCATTACATCTCTGTTGTCCTTAAAACCCTGTAATTAGTCTGGTCTCGATGTCCCCCACAGACACCTCATGCCAAATTTGCTCGAATGACTTTTTTACAATAGACACTCAGCCGTTTCAAGCCTTTTTAAGGTTTCGTTGACATTCAGATTCTTCCGTTTTGTACGCATGCAGACATGACGTGTGGCCATGAAGCCTTTGTCAAAAACGAGCATGGATAGAATGGATGCTGTCAGAAAATCATTTTTGTTTTGGTCACAGGCGTAACTCTGTCGAAAACACATTTAGCTGCATGACAAACACTAATACAGCTGTGTATATCTTACTTTCATTCGAACTTTCCAGTATTTGACATTTATGGGCATTTATTAAAATGTATGCAAATTGGGTTTTTTATCATTGCATTTCCTGAGTTTCAACAGTTTGATTCTCTGATCTGTGTTGGCAAATCAACAGCTTTTAAAGTCCTCGGAGACAACTGTAATCAATTGAAGTGAGTTGAGTATTTAGAATGTTATATATAATAATGTGTTTGCGTGTACGTGCCCGGTCATCCTTATATGTGGCTTAATAACGTTGATTTTCTCTCTCAGATCCTAACGAAGACTCCCCTCCTCCCCACCACCTCCACTCTCATCACCACCACCACCACCACCACGCAGATGGAGGCACGGACCCGGGCAAGGCCGCAGCGTCCGGCCCGGGCTCCCTGTCCTACACGGCGGACCAGATTCGCCGCTACCGCACTGCGTTCACCCGGGAGCAGATAGCGCGTCTGGAGAAGGAGTTCTACCGGGAGAACTACGTGTCCAGGCCGCGCAGGTGCGAGCTGGCCGCGGCCCTCAACCTCCCGGAGACCACTATCAAGGTAAAGAGGGGTCAAAGACATATGCAGAGCTGCATGAGCAAAGATGTGGATCACTTTAATATTCACGATATCAAATGTTGTAGATTCATTTTACGATAATCGTGAGGGAAAAACGCCACAGTTCCAGATCCGTCTCTGCAAAAAAGATTTGAAATAATAACAAATTGCTAACAATACGATTACATTGATTCAGCAATTTCGAATTTTTTTTGACAGGAGTTCAAGTATTTATTAAGATGACATAAAAAAACATAGATTTATATGCTTCTAAAACTGTAAATATTATGTTTAGTTTCATTGAGATCTATATATAGTAGCGATTATCGATTATCTTTACAACCATATTCTCATTGGAATGTTTTGATAGATATTTATTTCTTTTGTTTTATGCAAATGTGCTGTGTTAAATGTCCCATCGATTGTGAGACTGTAAATCTAGTTGCATGTTTTTCCACCGAATACGCTGTGGCACTTTCACGTCACGTCACTTGCTTAAAGCCTGTCCAAAATCCATGGTCCTTGTTTACATCAAATATAAGATGAGAGGACAATTTGCCTGAATGACTTTTACGCATTCCCATTTTACGCATTCGGACAATGCGTCAGACAAATATGTGTCTGCATTTGGAATTTCTCAGAAGCAGAATCAGAATGTTCCCATGTCCATCTTCATTACGTCTGTTATAAAGACATAAAAACGTAAATATAACGGACGTGTGTCCATTTGGCCTGTGCTCAATTCAACAACTTCGTTATGTGTTTGACAGTAGCTATTTCTATAGATATTACAACACTCAGGATTGTATCACGTGACATCATTCTCGTCTTTTTGAACCTGCCATGAAGCAGAAATCAAAACACATTTACAGAAAACGCCATCCTCCTCCAATAGAACACGTGCAGACAAAATGGCAAAATAGAGATTTAATTATACAAGACGAAATACATGATAATATACATACAAATCCTTTAAGAAACTGGATCTAAGGTAGTCAAGTTCAGTGTTCAGTGTATCTATTTTTACATACAGTATAAGAGCACGTGCATAATAATCATTCTTATTTCAAAAGCATCAACAACAAAAAGCTAACCACGCAGTCTGACGCTGCTAAAATGCATATGAGGTCTGTCCAAGGATCGAAGCTGCTTTACAAGTCCAATCGCGGCACGAGGGACACGTTTCTAAGCTCCATTGTAGTGGAAATGATTGTGTCAAAATGAAAATATTATTATAGTTAGGAGTATGTTTTAATATCTATGTTTTTGTTAATAATGGGTGCGTACATTTAAAACGCTTCATGTCTGTCCTATTCAGAATCAAAAGCTAATTTCAAATCGAATCATTTATTTTCCTCGAGGTTATAAATACTAGAAGATTGCATGTCACTAGATGTCTTTACAAAATTGTCAATATACGAAAACAAAAATTGACATCTAAAATCAGGCAAAATATACAGTGATTAGTACATGTGTGCTTGAAGGCCTTTTGACTCTCATTAAGATCTACGAAAAAAGCAAAATGTATGAATTCAACATACGAAAAATACATGTTGTGTTGTCAAGTACGCAAATGTAGCTGGATTGGCCACTTATTGCTGCTGTGTTGTAGATGTTACTTTATGCAATTTTATGACCAAAGATCAAAGCCTTTGTCCTCACTGGTTTCATTCAAATAAAGCATCTTTGGGAGCGTGTGCCGTGCGTAAAGCGGAACTCCTCGGCCCGTGTTTGCTCTGCGCTCTGGTTAACGGGCTTAATCAGTAACGTCCTGTGTCTCTGTCTCCCGTACCCCCCGCAGGTGTGGTTCCAAAACCGGCGGATGAAGGACAAGCGTCAGCGCCTGGCGATGACGTGGCCCCACCCTGCGGACCCTGCCTTCTACAGTTACATGATGACGCATGCGGCCAACCTCCCGTACCCGTTCCCCTCTCACCTCCCGCTCCCGTACTACGCCCCCGCGGCCCCTACAGCCGCCGCCTCGCCCTTCCCCAGCTCGCTGCGCACCCTGGACGGCTTCCGCATGCTGTCGCACCCGTACCAGAGGCCAGACCTGCTGTGCGCCTTCAGACACCCGTCACTCTACCCGTCCCCACACGGGCTGGGGCCAGGGGGCAGTCCGTGTACGTGTCTCGCCTGTCAGACTGGGGGGATCGCGTCCAGAGCTGCCGCTGCTGCCGCTGCTGTCACCGCGTCTGCCGCTTCAGACTTTGCGCCCACGAGCAGGACTGACGCGTCTTTTGTGACGTTTTCGCCTCCGGTGATCAGCAAGTCCTCCGCCGTGACGTTGGAGCCGCGGGAGGAGGCGCTCACCAGATAAATGTCCACAAACAGTGACTATAATGAAGAACGCGAATGGAAAGACTGTTTAACGCATTATGTCGCATAACATAGGGCTGAATGGGGGGCTAGAGCAGGGGTCTCCGGCCTATAGCCAAGAGGCTACCAGTATCTCTCCACCCCGTTGCAAGGAGCAACCCAAAGGATTAAGAAATGATATAAATATGCTATACAAATTCCAAAATGTATGACACGACTATTGTAAATGCTAAAAAAAAAAAACTGTACTAAATTATCTAAAATAACTATTAATAACTTCCAATAAGGCTGTAGCTCTCCCAGGCTATAGCTCACTGTCATTTTGGTCCAGGGAAAGTATAGCTCTCTGGGTGAAAAAGTCTGGAGACCCCTGTTAGAGAGGGGGCAGAACCTCCACGTGCTGTTCCATATGCTGTGATGCACAATTCTACTGAAGAACTGTAAAAGCTGGACTTTTATCCTATTTTTTCCCCCACACTTTTACTGTTGGACTTAAAGTCGGGGTACCTAACTTTCCCCATCATAAATAATCATACATTTGTCCCAACAGAAAGTAAATATGAGCAAACCAGAGCACACCAGGCTGCCTTCAACATGTCATTTTTTGCATATTAGAAAGAGCCCTGTGAGTCACTGTTTGACTCTGGGCTGAGGTCTTGGAGTGAGGGTGGTCCTCTTGTTTTCACTTTTCTGTCTGAAAAATCAAATCTATGTGACAGTGTGAAAACCAAACTGTGTTAGAGAAGGACTTGGATTGTAATGACATATTTGTGGTGTGAAAGTTATTCCCCTGCAGCTTAAAATAATATTTGTACCATTGTGGCATTTTTTTGGTGCAGGTCTGCTAGGCAGTGATTCAGTTGTTGTGTCCATACTGAGAAATACAGGCACTTATTAATCAAGAAATTACATTTATTCGTCAAGCACAATTCATGCAATATATTCAAAAATAACTAAAAAGTTCACTTAAAGAGAACAATAATGAAAATCCCAAATACCTCAAGAGCCTTGGACATCAGCACAGAGTGAAGACATTCATTTAGAATCTTGTCTCACGTTTTCAGGAAGATTGTTCTAGATTTTAGAAGCATGAATCTAAAATGCTGATTATCATTTGTCCTGACTCTGCATGGGATCAGTAGTATAGGCCAGTCCCTGTGCTCCTCAGAGTCCCAGCAGGAAACCAGTCCCTGTGCCATAACAATATACAGTACAACATGAGCTTGATATTGTGTAAGTGCAGTGTTTTGGGATGAAAACAAATCTATTTTTTCTCAATTCAGAGACAGACCAACGTCACCGAGACCTGTCAAAGTGAACACAACACAAAATTCCAAATTCTACTTTCATCCATGTTGTATCCTCTTTGTCATCATTTCATAGGAAAATATAGCTTTTTTTTGGGGAAACTCAAGATGGATGCCAGAACTATCAGCAGACTTCTCGCTCTCTCTGCTCCCCTCTCCAACACGATGGTCCACTTACATATATCCATATCCCTCTCTAACAAGGAGGGGATCTGTCTCATTAGACGCGGCGGCTTGGGGGCCCCCGCTCACTCACAAAAGGGCCCTTCAAATTAGCCGTGTGTATAAGGCAAGGGGCAGCGGCTTCATGGATTCTGAATTAATGATAAAAAAGAAGCAGGAATAAAGAAGGAGATGGAAATGTCCAAACGATAACAAGGCGTCAGGGGAGAGGATTACACGCGCACGCCCCCCTGGTCCACCCACCCGGACGTGCGCACACGTACAATGATTAATATATCGCATAGAAGCATATGTCCACGTTAACTCTGACGCTGTGGTGTTGAAGAAATGAAGATTTTAGTTATTTTATTTTCAGTTTTCTTTGGGGTTTTTCTTTTTCATTGATGGAAAATTTGCAATAAACTGATTGAGAATAAAAATTGAAGTGTTGTGACGTCACGTGGAAGAAAAAAGGCGTAAATATTTTTGTCGTAAATTACTGCACTACAAAAATGATATGATGTGAGGTCAAAATTGCTTGAATCGAGTTTTAATCTTAATTTGTGTGAATATGCCAATGGGAAGAAGCCATTTAGTCTTATTTAAAGAACTATTGCATTTTTTCTCAGTCCACGGGAGATAATTCTTATATTTTCTTAAAACGAGATAATTTTTCTTTGTCCCATCGGCAAATCTTGCCTGAGGCAGTCAACATGCGTTCATATGCAGATACGTTTTTTTTGTTTGTTTCTTATGTTTCATCACTGTTTGCAGTGTGAGGCTTATTTTCACCTGAAACGTTTTTCCCATATTTTACAAAAGAAAACAACGTTGATTCTTGTTCTACTTGATAATGCAAATGATTCAAGCAGAGTCTATGCATTTACAGTAAATGCGTTTTCTTTTTGGATTAGAATAAGAGTAAGAGAGGCGCGTGTCTGGACAAATTGGTTGTTAAAACGTTACAGCAGCATTTTTCATGTAGCGCAGATCGAATGGAGTCCAGTTATGTTGTCAGGTTATTACGGGAGACAGATCCTTCAGAATTGATGTTATCTGTTAAAGACACATGGCACCGTTAAAATCAACCACAAATATTATTTCATTGTTTGATTTTGATTTTATTTTTTTATTTTTTTGCATCTCTTCCAAATGATTTGAAAAATAAATGAATATAGTTGACGAATAGTGGTCCAGTAATAGGGAACGTGAGCTGGGTTTAGATCGTTGTGAGACAGGTTTTAGTTTTATACTGAGGATGTGTTGTTGCCATAGTAATGCTGACTATATTTAAATTATACATGCCAACTCACCGCAGCCCAAAACCTAATCCCCTTAAAATAAATCAAATATGTGTTTATGATTTGACTGCATTAACCCTTTAATATTCACTCATTGAAGAAAGCAATGTATTATTTTTCTGCAGGAGCACAAACAAAAATATTCTAATTATAGGCCGCTACAAAATGGTTGAGACGCAGTTTGATGGTAAAGGGCCTACAACCAAGGGACATCTCTATGACCCAAAGAGGTAGATGTCAGTTCCAAGCTTCAAGTAGATTTAGTGACTCAAAAAGTCAAACGGTTGAGGAAGCCTTTATAGGGGTAAAACTCAAAAACGCCGAGCCATAACAGTCCATTCGTTAAATCGATGCTGTGATGCTGTAATACAACACAAGGGCGTGTTTCCAAACGAGTCACTTTGGAGGACGTTATGGCCTGGACTGCATGTGCGCGCGTACCGACCGCTCTTTTCGATGTTAAACTGGCTACGCCCGGGACAATCTGCTTCTCTCCAATCTGTTCCAGGAGACAAAGCAGCTCGTGAGATTTTCATTAAAGCTTTTCGATAGCTATTATATCCCCGCAGAGCCCCGCACCCTGCCGTAATCAGCCCGGTGTGCGCGCTGTCAGCATGTGTGCGCGCTCCCGCTAGATTGACCGTGACACTTAAGTGGTCCCCGGGCTCCGCGAACGCCACTCATATTTCCTGGCGCTGGTTTAATAGACAAGACAGAAATGAGTTGTCGTATTGGAGATAGTAAAAGGGGGAGATCGATGGTTCAGAAGAGGCAACCAATCAGCGCGCGCCGTTAATTGGCCGCGTTTGACCGCAACAAATTAAAGGCTGTTCTGCGCGTAATAGGACTGGAGAGGTCAGAGGGGTTTAGGGGGAGGGAGGGGGGGAGGGCTGTTTCTCACATATGATACACTTACGTTGTCAGAGGCATCGGGGAATTCACCTGCACATGAGAAACATTGTGCGTGTGTTTAAGCCACGCGCAAATCACAACCATGAAAGGCCAAAGACAGCAAAACGAAAAACATTCAGTAATTGATAACGCCATGATAAAGCATTTAGAGAGTTTTTAAACCAGTGGGCCGTGGCCTGTTTGGGTGCCTTGAGAATTTGCTTGGTGTGCCGTAGGAAATGATCCATTATGGTCAAAATAATGTTGGAAAAAAATAATGCAAGAATAATATCGAATGACTTTTTGCACTTTGAATTTCTAAAAAGTTAATCAGAAAGACTTTGTTATTAAAGGCTGCATGCAGAGTTTCAAAAAGGTTCAGGAACACTGGTGAACACAACATTCACAAGATAGAGAGATTATGTCTGACCCATTTCAATGCAGAGATTGGACTTTGAGACTTGACAATAAACAAGTGTTTATGGAACAGTTTATTATAGAGCAGGGACCAAAGCCCAGCGGGATAGTGGAGAGGAACTCTTTTTTTTCTGAAATTTGATTTGAAACAGACCAGAAGCTTATTATAGATCGAGAACTACTAAAAATAAATAACAGAAATGTATACAATATGTAAAATGTCAGAGCAGTGTTGGATAATGTTGCGAAAGGGCTAAAAACAACACAGCAACACACAAGCAGAAAGTATATCCAAAATGATTACAATTACACAGAAATGAGTGGACTAATTTTGACCCTTGGCAAAACACATTGCACAGTGGAAAAAGATAATGTAATTACTAATGTTTTCTGACATGACAACAGTTATCATATTGTTTTATATATTGTCATTACTGCATCTCAACAGTTTTGCAACAACACTTATTCTAAGACTTATCTTACGTGGGTGTGACATTTCAGTGCTCCAAATTAAAGCTGGGGTACATCATTTTCACATAAAAAATTGTTTACACCTATAATATCCTTACTTTTATGATATCCTTTAATATATCCCTTACCAATGTAAAAATCCATCCAACATGTTCTCACTACTCTTCACGTGCACCAATTATTCGGGCTTTTTTTTTTTTGGACAGAAGTTCAGTCTATGTACTTTTGACCTAAGTGTGACTCACAGGACTCTTGAAAATAACATCACATTTAAAATAAGACGTAGACAGCATGTGGTGGTCTGATTTGTTCGGACAAACAACATGAATTATTTATGAAAAACACTTAATACAAAGCAGTGCGTTCACGTGTTTTGGCATCGCTACCTTCCCTTGCTCCTCATCCTCTCCCCCTCCTCATTCCCCTCCTCCCCTATCCTGCCCCCCCCACAA